TGGCTGCTCTTCCAGAGGGCTGGGGTTTGATTCTAGCACCTACATGACAGCTAACAGCCATCTGTAACTCCAGTTCAAAGGATCCAACTCCTGGCCTCTGACGGCAACAGGCATATATACATGGTACACAGACCTACTCAGGCAGAACACCCATACACATAAAAGAATAATAGAAGAACTTCAAAGAACTCTAATGCTTACAGAGTCACGTGTCCCTCTACCGGAGGCCTGCAAAAGTTCTCCACTAGTGGGCGCTGCTGTTAGAGCTCCTACTTTCCCACAGCTATTGCTCACTGCTGCCATTCACTGAAGGAAACGAAAGCTGTCAAAGCTTGTCCTTGCCCATCCGCTATCTCCGTTTAGGTAAAGGACTCCAGCCAGATGATTGTAACATTATTACCAGGGCTTCTGAAGGTAAGACTCATGAGCAGTGTAGGGTCTTCTTAAGACCAAGTTTCCCCTGAACAAGACTGGACCCATCAACACTCACTCCATCATGGATGGAGAAGGGGTTCACAGGCCACCTTTCCCTGAGGAGCCAAGAGCAGCTAACGGTTGCTGGGATGGAGTCGTTTCTTCTTCTTCATTATTTATTCATTTTATTATTATTGCTTATTATTGTTGTTATATGGTTTCTTGAACGGGGTCTTTTAGTAATTTATTTATTTTTATTTTATGTGCACTGGTGTTTTGCCAGATCCCCTGGAACAGGAGTTACAGACAGTTGTGAGCTGTCATGTGGGTGCTGGGAATTGTACCCAGGCCCTCTGGAAGAGCAGCCAGTGCTCTTAACTGCTGAGTCATCTTTCCAGTACTGAACAGGATCTTCCTACAAAGCCCTGGCTGTCCTGAAACTCACAACTCACTTTTTGGACCAGACTGGCCTTGAACTCAGAGATACGCCTGCCTCTACTTCCTAAGTGCTGGGATTAAAATACAAACTCCACCACAATCCTGTTACTGATGGAGTCACTAGGAAGTTGCCCTTATTCAACCCCTCACCCATTCTCATGCAAACAATCCTAATTAAATGTTGTGAGCACCTTCCCTGGAGGTTTTGTGAAGATAGCACCATGTTCGGCCCACACTAGCCTTGAACTCACGATCTTTCTGCTGGGATTACAGGCAGACATTCATAGCCACACCTGGCTCCCTGATTGTTGTTGCATTTTCTCAATATTGTCCATATTAGGGCCAGGTGTAGTGGTGTCTGCCTGTAACAACAACACTAAAAGGCCAGGGCAGGAGGGCTGTGGGCTCCAAGGCAGTGAGACCATGTCTTAAAGCAAGAACTAAAAGATTGTCCATGTTGAGTCTAGCAATTTCCTGATTACAGTTTGAGCTTTCCAGCCTGAGTCTGGTCCTAGCTGTGGGCAAGCTGTGGTTCTCTGTGTTTGCCTGTCTGTCCCCAGGACTCAGGATAGTGGTTTACCCTAAGACCTCAATTCTTTGATGGCTGTAACAAAAGCTGTTAATTTTCGGTTTGCTCAGCATTTTTCTTTATTGTGTAGATGGTAGTGGTCACTTCCCAACTCTTTATGTGCCTGACCAGAAACCAAATGTTAAAGCTATTATTTCAGGGTGAGGAGATGACTCAGTAGTTAAGAGAACTTGTTGCTCTTACAGAAGACCCAGGTTCAATTCTCAGCACCCACATAGTGGTTCACAATTATCCATAACTCCAGTTTCAGGTGATTTGACACCTTCTTCTGTCCACCATAGGCACCAGACATTCATGTGTGCATGTACCTGCATACAGGCAAAACACTCACACATATAAAATGAAACAAAGAAACGTAAAATAATTTATTTTTTAAAAAGCTATGATTTAAGAAAAATCCTCAGAGCTGGGGAGTCATTTTCTCCTTACACCTTGATGTAGGTTCTGGGGATGGAACTCAGGTTGTCAGGCTTGTACATCAAACGCCTTTACCAACTGGGCCATTTTGGCAGCCCTAGACTACTGTAGTATGGGACTGATACAAGCCAGGCCCAGCAGGTGGACTCTGAGATTTCAAAAGCCCACACCAGGCCCAGTCTCTCTGCCTCTGCTTATGGGTCAGATGTAAGCTCTCAGCTACTTCTCCAGGACATGCCTGCCTGCCTTCTGCCATGCTTCCCGCCATGACGGAAATGGACTGACTCTCTGAAACTGTGAGCAAGCCTCCAATTAAAATGCTCTCTTTTATAAGTTGCTATGGTCATGGTGTTGTCTCACAGCAACAGAACACTAATTAAGACACTGCCTATTTCAGTAGCTCTTCTATCCACACACCAGCCTGTATTCTTCAGTCAGTTTTGCATCACAGTAACAATACCTGAGTGATCAATTTATGGAAAGGCTTATTCAGGAACAAAGGTACACACTTGTAGTCCTTGCTACTTTAGAAGATGAGGCAAAAGGATTGCTTGAGTCTGGGACTTGGGAGCTAGCCTTAGCAGCATAGAGAGACCCTAGGAGGGGAGAAGGGAAGAGAAGAGAGAAAGAAGGCTTATTTTGAATTTTGGTTTCAAAAGTGCAGGCGCATAATCAGTGGATCCTATTGCTTTTAGACAAGGCAGTGAACCATGGCAGAAAGATAGACTCAGATTTAAAGGAATTTTGAGCAGAGACAATAAAGAACAGAAAAGGTAAAAATGAGATAAAATTATCAAATAAAAAGAATAGAGAGTCAAAGAGATGGCTCAGCAGTTAAAAATACTCGCTGCTCCAGCGCCCATATGGCAACTTTACAACTGGAAACTCCAGTTCCAGGGGATCCTGTGCCCTCTTGTGGCCACTCAGGGCACTGCATGCACATGGTGCTCAGACATACATGCAGGCAAACATTCACATATATAAAATTTTTTTAGAAGGAAAAAAAAATCTAAGAAACAGAAAAAATACTAAAGTGAACAGATCCTCCCAGATGTGTGAACACCCTGGCTTTTCTATAAGATTAAATAAACCTTTTCCCCCCAAGTTGCTTTTGGTCACATCTATCACAGCAATAGAAACCTAACTAGAACACCTGTAATCCTAGTACTCAAGAGGCAGAAACTAACAATTGGAGATTAGCTGGAATACAGCAAGATACCTGACTCTAAAGAAACACAATCGAGTGGAAATAGGCGCGAGGGAATGTAGTTCAGCTGGCAGAGTGCTTGCTTAGCATGCATGAAGGCGTGTGTTCAGTCTCCAACACCACACAAAACTCAGGGTGGCAGAGGCAGCGGCGGCACAGGCCTGTAATCCCAGCACTCAGGTGTGGGCAGAAAGACCTGGAGTTTAAGGTCCTTCTTGACTACACCATGAGTTCTATGCCAGGCTGGGATGTATGAGGCCTGTCTCAAGAAAGAGTAGAAGGCCTGGTGTTGGTGGTGCATGCTTTTAATCTCAGCACTCGGGAGGCAGAGGCAGGTGGAACTCTGAGTTCAAGACCAGCCTGGTCTACAGAGTGAGTTCTAGGATAGTCTCCAAAGCCACAAAGAAACCCTGTCACAGATAGGATTTGAAGGAGTTCATTACCAGTAGACATTTACTGTAAGAAATACTAAAGATTTCTGTGGATTGAAGTCAACACTGTTAGCAACTAAACACCAAATAAGCACCTCTAGGAGAGGTAGACAAGCAGTTAGAAAGCCTAGTGTTACTATAACTCTGTTTTTGCTTTGTTTTCAAGACAGGGTTTCTCTATATTTCCCTGGCTATCATGGAACTTACTCTGTAAACCAGGCTGGCCTCAAACTCACAGAGATCCTCCTGCCTCTGCTTTCCAAGTGCTGGGATTAAAGGCGTGCACCACCAACATCCGGTATAACTCTGTTTCTAATTCCACTCAGTAGTTTCTTTGTCCATCAAATGGGACTTGTCCCTAGAATACAAGAATGTTTCACCCGATGTTGGTGGTGCACACCTTTAATCCCAGCACGTGGGAGGCAGAGACAGGCAAATCTCTGTGAGTTCGAGGCCAACCTGGTCTACTGAGTGAGTTCTAGGACAGCCCCCATAGCTACAGAAAAACCCTGTCTCAAAAAACCAAAAAAAAAAAAAAAAAAAAAAATGTTTCAACATAGTATTTAAAAATGCCACAGACAACCTGCACCAGCAGGCCAACACCCCACACTCACCCCAACCTACATAGGAAACACTATTTGACAAAGTGAAATATTAAAAAAAACAAATTATTAAAATCATTATTAAAGCAGAAACAAGAGGCCGGGGAGGGGCTCAGTCAAGAGCACTAACCACTCTTTCAGAATGCTGGCGCTGGGCTCCAGCACCCACCGTTGAGTAGCTCACAGCACCTGTAACTCCAGCTCCAAGGGATCCCACACTCTTTTTGTACTCCTCTGAGGCCACGTGCATATACCCATACACAGACACACATGCATTGACACAATTAATTTTTTTTAAAAGCCACTAAAAACCAAAAACAGAACCAGGGTGTATTAGTGTGAATCCCAGATTCCGCTGGGTGATTGTTCTTTGCCTTGGTTTCCCTGCCTGTGAGATGGGAGACTAGCTCATGCTTCAAAGGGAATCTGAGAAGTGGGTGCAATGAGACCGGAGAATTCAGAATAGTGGCTATCTTGCACAGATTACTATGAGCTGCTTTGTTAGGACAGGCCTTCTGAAGCTGGAGCGAGTATCACAGCGTTGGACAGAGAGTTGGAGGAAAGCTTCATCCACCCAGGAGCCACCAGGTCACCAGAGCCAGGGAAGTGTGACATGACCCGGATTGAGAGGCTCAAAGCGGCCCATGATACCCAACGTGCTC